CATGTAATCATCATCCAAATATAGTTTTGGTAATTCTTTTCTTTTGGGTGTTTCTTTCTGGCAGGCGTCTTGTTGCCTATCCCAAGGGAAATCGTTGGATTGATCATGGTGACTTCTTCTATTTGTATCTGGAAGCTGCTGATTTGGAATCATTGCCTTGCGGATGGAAAATATACGTGGAATATCGGTTTACTATAGTTAATCAGTGTTTTCCTAATCACACTATACATAGAGGTAAATCAAATGCACTATATAGTGTTGACTAGTTATGTTAGATGAATAACATATTGTCTTTGTTCAAACATTACAGAAGCAGTGCACTGGTTTGATAAGAAAATTTCGAGATTTGGTATTAGTATGATTCCCCTATTCGAACTTAATGACATTAATGGTGGGTACTTGTTGAATGGGGAGCTCTTGATTGTTGCTGAAGTAGAAGTTCTTGAAGTCATTAGCACATTAGATACATCACAAGCTGAAGAGATTAGTGATAATAGTGAACAGAGAGATCATGGTTATTCATCTCCATCTGAAGATTTGCAGAACAAAGATGATGTAACTATTGAAGTCAAGGGCTTTCAGGTTCTTGGTTCGCAGGTAATAATAATAATGCTTGACAAAGTTAAATTTGACCTTTTTCTTGTTTAATAACATCATCATCTTCACAGGTTAATCAGGTGAAGGAAATCTTTGAGAAACATCCAGATCTCACGTCGAAATTCGATTTAAAGAATCAAGAGATCAAGAATGCTTACATGTATGCTCTTCTTGACCTAATCAATACACTTTGCAAAGCTCCTAATGAGCTCACCGAGGAAGACCTGAACAAAGCAGAAGATACGCTTTCTGATCTGATAAAATCAGGCTTCAACTTAGACTGGTTGCGTCAGAAGATGGATCAGGCTTTGGAAAAACAGATAGCTTACGATACACGAATCAGAGAACTCGAGAAACAAGTCAAGAAGCGAAAGCTGGCTTTAACAGAACTTGAAGCTGATTTGGAGAAAGAGAAA